AAGTACGTGTGCCTAATGCAAATGCCTATATAATTATCAGATAGGTGGGAGTAATGCATTCCACATTGCTATTAATGTTAACTGTCTGGGTCTCTCATATCTTTGGTTTACCTTGGTACACACACCAACTGTGATAATACTATTGGCATATCGGTATTTATCATACTACTGTAGGAAAGTATGCTTTATTAGTGCATCGTATATAAAATTATGGCTAATAGTTTCCAGATTTACTAGAAATGATGTGGCAGATACCCGTTTACAAGCTAGCTAGAAACTTAAACGTCGTCGACTTGATCGATGTCCATTCGATGACACGTGGCCAGTTCACTCTCATTAAGCAAAAATTATTTCAAGTGGATGAAACTGCCTGGTTTTCAGAGGGGTGGCGGTGGGGTGGGTGGGCGTATAATCTACGTATGGTATATGTGTACGTGTGTGCGTAGTTCGTGTGTGTGTGTGTGGGGGGCGTGAGAGCGTGTGTGTGTGTGTGTGTGTGTGGGTTATAATGTACGTAGGGTATGTATGTGTGAGTGCGTGTGTTTGTGTGTTTGTGTGCGTGTGTGTGTGCATGGTATGGTGTGGGGTGTGTGTGTGTGTACCTACGTGTTTGTGTATGATCGTGTGCGTGACTTTATAAGTAATTTGGCGTGTGAGTGTGAGTGTGCGTGCGTGCGTGCGTGTTCATAACCCAACCTTAATTTTAAACATTGTGTTAGTATATGTCATATTTTACCTTACCCAGATCATGACGTTATAATTTGCTTTTATGTCTAGTGTCTCGTAGGCCATACCTGGTCGGATGTTATATTTTACTGTTCATGTACGTGTTTTACTATGAAGTGTATATAACATGTGACACTGTAATAAACATTATTCTCTCTCTCTCTCTCTCTCTCTCTCTCTCTCTCTCTCTCTCTCTCTCTCTCTCTCTCTCTCTCTCTCTCTATATATATATATATATATATCAACTCCAACATTAGATGTTTGAAATTCTGGTGTAAAATTACTCTTGGAATGCATGCACGCCGAACTACTAACCTTGCTTATAGCATGCTCATACATTTAGATGACATGGGCATCATCTATTAGAAAACTAAGAAACGTCTGAGACCTTCATCACTTCAGTCTGTCCTCCCACATCAAGCTGACACTACGTTACATGACTGGAATAATGTTAAAAGCCACGTTAAAGCCAGCTCACTCACTCACTCATCCACTTGAGGGACATCAGCACCCATAATTGAGTGAAACCCAGCGGGGCTTCTGGGAACCTCATTTTGTTGTTCGCGACGAAATAGTTTGGGTGACAATAAAAGTGATAAATGTCTCAAACCTGTATCTCTTAGGGCTTTCCTCCCATATTAAATTGACACACCGTGATATAACTGGAATAATGTTCAAAGCAGACTTATACACAATTCACCCACACTCATTAACACCAGGGTAACGTTGCCAATTGTGTGACTACAATAGTTCGGCCTGACACTCCTCGGGTCATCAGAGCCGTCGTGAAACAAAGTCCATCACGGTCAAAGACCATAGCGGCTCAAAACTCACGTTGTCGAGCATTCGGGTGTTAGTCCGGCATAGTTCGGTGTGTTTATGTTCATTACCGTATTGTTTGAGAATTTCTGGTCCATAAAGTTTATTCTCTAGCAGTTTAATCTCATACTTGTATCATGTATTGATTTGATATATGTTATCTCATATATGAATACAAGCCTATTCATGTATGGAAAATATTTTAGTAACTTTCATCTTCGCGCAGTTGCGGATTTATATACTATGTAGATATTTCTCATTATTTACGCCTCCTTATTAAGTGTACATATCTGGTTGTAAATCGTTAAGAGTACCTATGGGTAGCTTATGTTCGGCCTTTTGTTATGGTACCCCCATCACCCCTATTGGTTTGTTAGATAGTTGCCGTATTTAAGAAAAAAAACATTCTGTTAGCTGTCCCCAGTTTTACCCTTCTCCGGGCGAGCAAGGAGAGGTTGTTTTCTTCGACGTCCGCGCGTATTGTTTATAAGCCTTTTCGTTTTCAAATATGGCCATCACCAGGAATCTCCAGACCGTTATGGGTCGCTTTGTTACATTGTGATCAGGTCAAAACTTTCCTACGCTAATAAGTACTTATGGGTTAAATTCAGTCTTGTACTGACTTACTCTGGTATCACTGAGCTAAAACGTTTTGGTTAGGGTCTATTATACCTCTTTTTCTAGTTATCCGTGAATAACCAGTTTTCCCGGATATCCTAGTTAAGGTCAAGTACTAAGCTATTTAGGATTGGGAGTCACTCTACTCTTTTGGTCAGGCCCCGTTTTATTGGCGTGAGTCTAGATTTCCTTTATCAGTCCAAGCGACTTTAGATTGTAACGCTGTATTGTTATTCCGGCGTTTTGGTTCATCTTAATTGTCCAAGAGACTTATAATAGGGATAGGCCCTCAGTGCTCATTTCTCCCTATCCAACCAAGCTGATGATAGTCCCTCGTTAGAGTGTCGAGTTAATTAACTCTCAGGTGTTAATTGGTCACAGCCGACTTTATTTACTGTCTAAAAACGTCTTGTCAGAGTGTTGATTTAGCTAACCTTTTGTAACAGCTGTTATACCGTTGCTTATCTAATCAGCTTGTATATTTGTTCTCGTTTATTAATCAGTAATCATTACCAGTTGCATTGGGGGCTTGATCCTTTAGATTGTCTATCGTTAGTTACACTTAGCTAATACTTTTACTGCGCAGCCCCGAGTGGTTTGTCCTCCCTGCAGTGTTTCATTGTACGATAAGCAACGACCAAGAGTCGTTTATTTCTTATATACGATAATCAATATTATGTAAGTCTCTTTAAGGATTTTCGTAAAATGTACAAGCTATTAAAATATATACCAGTGTTTAAATAATGATGACTCCCCTAATAGAATCCGACCTCGGCGATATCGGACAAGTCCATTTTATGAACAAGGGGGTTAAATGTGGTCCTTCCCGCATTCTATCACAATTTGCACGTCGATTATCTGGAACTTTTCTCCCGATACCGACTGTCATCTCTCTTCCACTTTTGGATGCGATCGTTCGGCCATTGCGTTTTTCTACGTTGCTACATCTACAGGGAGCAACTCACCAGACACTTACTTCCCTCTAAAAAATAACGTCGTCCAATTTACGACGTCATCAAGTTGCGAGCGCATATTCGAATCTCCAGAGATTACGTCATGACAGAACAATGTTTTATCGTGAAATAAACCACGCTTCGTTCTTCATATCTATTTGTGATTTATCGCGTACCTATCCTATATTATCATACTGACCCCGAACGGTACCGTTACAAATGAAACAGTCCGGAATAACACATGTCCTGAATAATAAGCACACAGTAGCGTTTCTCATCTATTACTATACTGAACCGGAAAAGAAACGTCACCTCAAGTAACATTGCATGAAAAGTCATTAAATATCTGGACAATTTTTGTCAAGGTTTCTAAAATTTAACATTTCCTTGTCCGGAAAAGTGAAATTTGATGATAAAAAACAAAGCAGATGACAATAAAACTGATCGCCCAAACGCATCACGACAACGGCCATGGTAACACGATGTACGTGAGTTCCGTGCAAATTGAAATGCACATGCGTTCTCCAAATTTCTTGCCCTATAAAAATCCACCCAGATCGGATACCATTCATTCGATATTGAATTGCAACCACATGCCAAGATTGACAATAAATCAGCGACACCAAGCCCTTGGACGATTGCAAGCTGGACAAACCGCCCGGCAAGTAGCCAATGCATTTCAAGTCCACGTAAGGACTAGGCTCCAGTAACGGTACCAGACCACCAACACTACAGATGACCGACCAAGGGTCTCCACCCGACGTCAGGCTCGTCAGATTGTGCGACAGCATCTTCAAGATCGCTTTGTTACTGCTGCGGAAAAGTGCTCGGCAGACCATGGAGACACACCAGCGACACACATTAGTGCGGACACCGTGCGTCGACGATTGACGAGCAGACACCTCCACTGACACAGGCCACACCAAGGACCCATTCTGACACCACGTCATCGCCGGGACCGTCTTCAATGGGCAACACAGCACTAGCATTGGCGCCACCAGCAGTGGAGAAGAGACCTCTTCTCAGGCGAGAGCCGTTACTGTATCTCAACAGCAGATGAGAGAGAGAGAGAGAGAGAGAGAGAGAGAGAGAGAGAGAGAGAGAGAGAGAGAGAGAGAGAGAGAGAGAGAGAGGGGAACGTTATTCGGATGCTTGTGTTATTGAGAGAGACTCTCACGGGGGTGGTCCGAGCATCATGGTGTGGGGTGGAATTGGTCTTGCACAGAGGGTCGGCCCTGTGATCGTTCAGAACATCGGTCCAGGGAGAGGCAATGGCCATACCTCATTTGGCACGTCGCCGCAAACACGTATTTCAGCATGATAACGCCCGTGCCCACACTGCGAGAGCAACAAGAGACTTCCTCCAGCAGAATGGCATCATCAACCGCCTCATCTATTCCATGTATTGACGTTGCACGGCAGTCATCAATGGACATGACGGACACACGAGATACTGACTTGTGATGCCATTTTCTCAGAGACTTGTGTTGTGTTTCACTTTAAGAACATTTGACACTTTAAATTCAACCTTGATGATCAGTTTTGTCAAGTTTCATCTTTTTAATATGTCTCAAAGTATGTTTACAGTGTTTGGACAAATAAGGGTTATGATGTATCTATCCATCTGCGGTTCAGTATATATACGTCCAAACAGTATACGTAAGCGTACCGAAAGTTCGGTTTCCAGGCTTATAGGGTTCGACATAACGGTAAGTTGCCCAAATGTAGCCTGGTATGGACATACCTTATATAATTAATGGCTTATTGAGAGGAAATATGACATCACTCATTTTAATCCCAAAACACGTAGCAAATCATTTGATAAGAATTCATTTCGTCGGAATTAATACTGTCAGTAAGTGATAAAAACATTCAAAGAAGAAGAAGAAGAAGAGGAAGTTTATTCGGTATCAAAGGCCGCATGACCAAGAGTACAATGCATGAGATAAGCTTTTGCACATGGACTGGTGGGACAACTTTACAAAACAATGTTTATGATACATTATACAGGCAGATTTCTTTTCAAATATATAGCAATATGTTTTGTTAGCTTAACATTTTGTCTTGCTACCAGTTGATTAAATTTTGCTCGTGATGGATACTTGTAATAGTAGCATGGTATGTAGAACTTTCTGTTTTCCATATGAAATGGACAAACTAAAAGGAAATGGTATTCATCTTCAATTATATTATGATTACATTACTTGCACTTAAGTAAATCAGTATTGACTTTGTCATTGTAACGAAAGTGTTGAATACCCAACTTATGGCTCAAACATCGGAATAATTTGCGGATAAGATCTTTCTCCATAATATATTTCTCTGGTTCGAGTACAGACTTATGTGTAAAAAAATGGTTTAGAAATGATGAAGAAATAAATAATTGTAGCATGCCAATTCTGAATTTCTATGTCTTTACATCTTTGCTTTAAACACTGTATACAATTTGATATGCTGCCATACTCCTGTGCGATCCAAACAAACGTAAATCCAGTTTCTAATAGCAGCGAATGAACATGCGTTACCCAGTTGTTGCTGCCGTTTTCATCCTCTGATTTCAACATGCCACAACATGCTTCTGGGTATCGATAACTATCCATATACAACAGCCTGCACCAATCCTTTATACAACGACTAAAATAATTAACACATAAGTAGGTTCTACCTACTTCGCCTAGTACAGCATTGGTTGATATTTTTTTATTAACACATAAATATCGTTTAAAGTAAAAACATTTGCACGAGAAGTGTAACCTCAAATTTCAATATGGAAGCTATTTTACTGTCAACTATTGTAGATGCTACCTTTAGAGAAATGTTTGGATAATCCCTTCATAAGGTAATAATAGAAAACGAAGCCTTTCTGACTTGTAGTACTAATGTTTCACACGCTTTTGACCAAATTAATCTGGATGTGAAGACAATACCTAGACATTTATAGTGGGATACTACTTTCATATGTTTACCATCACAAGTCCATTTTTCTGTATTTCTTAGGTATCCGCCATTTTTGAAAACAACAATACATGACCTCTCCAGGTTAACTTCTAGGTCACATTTGTTACAATAAACCTTTTAACATATCAAGTTTTCTTTGTAGGCCTATTACAGTGCCGTCATTTCAGTGTTACGTCATCTGCAAATAATAGCAGTATGATATCGTTTAGTCCATCCCTGACAAAAACACCCCTCAATCCACATTTCTTCATTTCATCTACAAGCTCATTCATAAAAATAAAAATAAAACAGTACTCAACATACATCCCAGGCGTACTCCACATGATGTTGTAAATATTTCAGTTTCCGAACGTACGAAACTAACACAAGCTGAGACCTTGTCATACATAACTTTTAGAATTCTAAACATTTTCCCATGTACACCTTACATAGCTTATTTCTGGCAACAAAGTCGAATGCCTTACGAAAGCTGAATGGATCCTGTGTTTTTTTCTCAAATACTTTTGACACAAAGATTGAAGGACAAATACATTATTAATTGTAGAATAGTCATGTCTAAAACCTGCTTGACATTCATGTAATACTTTATGTACCCGTAGCCATATCCTTATTCAGGATTCAAGGATAGATGTGAAGATTTTACCCATATATTAAGCAAAGAAATACCATGGTAATTATTTGGATAATTACCTTTTTATTACACAATTGTAATTAAATGGAAAACTTATGGCTAACATCTTCTGTATTGGTACAAAGTTTCCGGTCCACTTCTTGTCCCCTCAGCAGGGGAAGACCTCAGTTACTTCAGTTACTTCAGTTTAGTTACAGTTCAGAAATCAAAACTATAATATAAATGTTAAAAACTATCACACACGTAGCTAAAATTGAAGGCTAAACTCTGAGCAAGAATACAAGAAATTCGAGCCTTAGCCTAATGGCCGAAGTAAACTTGATACTCAGTGTCCACTGCTGTGAGTATCAATATCCGTACGACAAGGTAGAAGGGTAGCTTGCTGGAGCACACGTTGGTGGGTGAGCACAGGGTGGAGGGCTGGCGTGACAGTGAGTCTGGGAAACAGACAAGTATTGGATTGACAAGATGATGAATCTCCAGGTGAAGGTCACAATAATCTCTTTTCCAACAGCGTTCAAAAATATATACTGTCAACTAATAGATTAGAGTAACTCTTTATCATAAGTATAGAATATCGCACTGCGACCACTTATAATTAATAACGATATTAGTGTATAAACTGAATGCATATATATGAAGACAGGGGTATGTCTGTCTCTGTCTGTCAGCTTAATATATATGAATGTATGTATGTATGTATGTATGTATGTATGTATGTATGTGTGTGTGTGTGTGTGTGTGTGTGTGTGTGTGTGTGTGTGTGTGTGTGTGTGTGTGTGTGTATGTATGTATGTATGTGTGTGTGTGTGTATGTATGTGTGTGTGTGTGTGCATGTATGTGTGTGTGTGTATGTATGTATGTGTGTGTGTGTGTGTGTGTATGTATGTATGTATGTATGTATGTATGTATGTATGTATGTATGTATGTATGTATTGTGTGTGTGTATGTATGTATGTATGTATATATGTATGTATGTATGTATGATAGATAGATAGATAGATAGATAGATAGATAGATAGATAGATAGATAGACAGATAGATTGTGTACACGTATGTACATGAATATATGTGTATGCATGTGTATTTGGGCTTATGTGTATATATATGGCAGACACAAGTGTTAACATACAGTTTTGTTTTACATGTTTTATCTATTTGAGGTCCTTTAGGTTTGTAATATTATTTAAAGTTGTTAGGAAAGTAGGTTCTTAGTTCAATATCTACTGTGGGGTTCTGGATTAGTTTACTTATAATGTAGAGGGTGGTTGGGTTGGTCCATGTTTGTATCATTGTTTCTTCCCTTTGTTCTAACCCAATCCTTGTTTTCATTGGCTTGTTCAAACTTTGCACTTTTCATCCACACTGGACACAACACCATTTCAGAAGTCAGGAAACAATTTATCTTAGATAAATAATTCGATTGTTAAGGTTAGTAATCTATAAAATTGCTAGCTAATATCTCTGTATGTATTTGTATAATAATATAACTTATGTTATCTAAGTTCTGTGGAAGCCCTTATCATTAACATGCTTATATCTGGTATGGTAATTGTGTCACCATATTGTTAAGTTAATAATTGAATAAGGCTAAGTAAACACTATAAATGCTTTTCATCCTTCTTCTTTCTGAGTGTGAAAGTTTGAGTGAATGCGTTGATTTTTATAATTGTGTGAATACTGTATTTGTATGCAATGTCAATCATTGTATGATAGTGTGTAGTTGGTTACATTTCCTCAAATGCATTCTATATGTTATATTTACTCATAGTTGATTCAGTTAATAGGAGTGTGCTGATAGCTGCATTGCTACCACGAAAGGCGGCTGCCTGGAGAGGACAAACACCCCAGTGTCACCCACAGGGTACGGATAATTTACATGTTTGTTGTGTCACGAAATATATTTTGTAAATAGTGTATCATACCAAATGTATATCAGTTAATTCATTAATATAGTAGTTTCAACAAAGTGGTAATTGTTTTTTGTAATGTTCATTGTATTTTAGAACCATGGACCATCTATATATTGTAATCGTATAAGTAATGTCGGGATCGAGTTATCGCCCTTGATAAATCGTTCGTTTACTTCAGGGTTAAGATAATGATTTTATATATCATTGATTATTATTATTAAGTTCATGTACAGAATATAGACTATGTTTATATTAAATGAAAGGTCGTTTTGTATTGAATATGTATGTGTATGAAGCCTGTATACTACTGTTTTTATAATTACAGGGTGTCATTATCTACTGAGGCAATACAGACTCACACCCGTAGCCTGTGTTGGACCTTCTTATTGCCATCACAAACCCCAGTTACATATACAAGTATAATGTGTTCGTATAGGCATTTGATGTAAGTTTATATTCTTCTTGCAAACATTATGTTAAAATAAACTTGTTTATGTTTTTCATGTAAATATAATTCTCTTTGTTTCTTTGAAAGGTTGGATAACTTTTGCCCAATCCGGTTGACCATATTTGTCAATAAAATATGTTTAAAACAAACAAGTATTTCTTCAGAGAAATAAAACAAGAGCAATAAACAATTTAAAAAAATCATTTCCGATCGATCCTTAGAACTATTTTTTACCCGTAGATTTAACACCAGGACCCGCAAGAAAGAGCTATTGATATGGTTTCCTATGCAGCATAGATGTTTTAAACGTGAGGTGTTACAAGTGCGTGTAACAGGAAAATGCATAGTGTTCTATTTAATGTAAAGGAACAACGAGAAGAACACTTCTGGGTCCACAGAATCTGCATAATTTAGGAAATGAGCAAAATATTTGGAAATTGAGAGTTATCTGATGAGAACTTGCATCTTTTTGACTTAGAACAGAAATAAATGTGTACATTATATTCAAATGTGTCGGTTGTTTATTACTTTTTTAGCTTTTCAGGAAGCATATTTACCCATGACTGTATAATATTTTTCTTATGTACTTAAATTTGAAGAGGAAAAGGGCTTTTGAATATGTTTGATAATTTTCATATACCATCATCAAGTTTTATATCACTTAGACATTTAACGCAAAATGCCTTTATCCTTCATCGTCCTTTGGCTGACAACTTTCGATTAAATTATGGTTTACTTTAGTTAACAATATGACTGGAAATGCCAGCCTTGCTGACAGCTACGTGATAGTGAATAAAAATTTTATGTTAGCATTCCGTACATGTGAACAAATCTTACCATAAACTGCATACGTGCAATTTTAAACGTGCAATTTTCAAATATCTTTATCACGTAACATAAACCCTCATACTTGGCATGCTATACATTACAAAGTCTATTGCAACTATTGATAGTCAAATATTTGTCAATTTACGCATTTTCACAGCTGCATTCGAAATATAGCTGCCATATTTTATCTTGTTTTCTGAACTCACGTCAGTAACGCAGTCTTCTCCCATACACCCTGCCGACGAGGGAAAGGACCATCACGATAACAATAAATGCTATCGCTCCTACAACTATGCCCGCCATGGAACCTGTACCCAGTTGCAATGATTTGCCATTTTCACATCCACAACAGTTTAAGATTGTTACCAGTACTCACGTCTGTAACGCAGTGTCTTCTCCTGTACACCCTGCCGACGATAGAAAGGACCACCACGATCACAATAAAAACTATCGCTCCTACAGCTATGCCCGCGATGGCGCCTGTACCCAATATGCTGTCGCAGCCACTGTTCTCGTCCGAGTTGTCTCCGCAGTCGTCGAAGCCGTTACATTTTAGGTCGTTGCTGACACAGTGGTCGTTGTCACATTGGAATCGGCGGCTTGAACATGGACTTGAAGCTGTATATGTGATAAAACGCTGAGAGATACAGACACATAACTCATGAAAAATAGAAAGTAGCCAACTTGAGGATCGGGTATGAAAGTTTGAATGGAAACTTAATAAAATGAAACAATAATAACACACATGATGATCCAGTCAGGTCACATCCACTTCATTTTGATAAAAAGTAAAATATGTTAAGGATATTCGTGTGTGTTTGTTGTTTATAACGCCAACATTTAATCAATAAAACTGCAGCCTGTAAATAATATCTTCCCGAGGCAAGGGAGTTAACTGACTATAAAAGTCCAGTTTCAACCCTTGCCGAACTAGGCTGCAATAATGGAGTTACATATTGGTTTGACTAACGAGTCTATGCATAGTTCAATCAAAATCGCTGAACGAACAAAACATCCTGTTTCTAAACAAAATGGACTTTCATGTGGAGATTTCGGTCGACTGCAGGATTTGCAAAACATGTGTACCGCCAACTGGGCGTCGACAGATATTTTGCAAATTCTTTCATGCATTTAAGCAAGGTGCTCAAGTGATTTGATGCACTTCGCGGGGTTGGACCCGTTTTCGTAAAATATAGATCTTGATTATTGAGCAGATCGTCTTGAATGGGAGCCGCCATTTTGTTTGAAGCAAATGCAAGTGATATGAGAGATATAATCTGATTGGTCAATAGGAGGAACACAGAAGGGACATAACTCGTAATAGCCCCTGGTGGCGCTACGATCGAGCCTGGAAATTCAAGCCTAGTTATATAGTCATGTAACGCCCTTGCCTCGGGAAGAAGGTAAATAATCGAGTGGGCCAGACAATCCAGTGAATGACATCATGAGCGTCTGATCTATAAAGTTGTGTTGTCATGACATGTACCAACCAAATCAGCGACCCTGAAAACCCAATCCCGTTTGTCACGGCAAGTATGAATTGCTCAAGACCAATGTCTCTTGGGGTCGGTATTCATATATCAGTGTCCCGTGTTAAGAAACAACAATTTTGTTGAACTCTAAGCTTACGAATAATTGCAAACGTAACGGCCCCAGTCTATCTCAGCTTTCACATGACGCGACCTTCTGTTGAGGTGTCGACAGATCTTGACGTAGAAACACATCATATTGGAGAAAGATCTGATTCCAAAATATTGCAGCTATAGTACGTTTTTCATGTCATGCAAAAGAGGTAAATGTATAACGTGAGTGAGTGAGTTGTGTTTAACGCCGTTTTTTTTACATTATTCCAGTTTTATCACGAGGTGTCAGCTAAATGTGGGAGGAAAGCCCGATGTGATGCAGGTCTCGGACGTTTACCACTTCAGTGAAAGCCACGAGCACGGGTATGATGCCCACAAACCTAGAAACAAAATCGGGGCGAACCGGGATTCGAACCCACAATCATAGGTTTCTGGCAACTCGGCACAGCGAATCGCGGCGCCTTAGACAACTGGACCACCCGTGCCCCCCAAATGTTTGAGGACTGTTTTTATTAGAAAACATATATAAAAACCCTTTTTACTCACAGAATGCCGTCACAAGGATGTCGAACTGGCCAGTTTGGGTAACGTAGTCAGTCTTAAATCTAAAGCTCATAGACCCAGTAGGTGCTGTATAGACAGTATTGTCCACGATACCACAGTCACCAGAAGCTCCTGAAAAAGAATATCTTACAAACGTTTTTTCCATAATCTTAAACATAAAACGTCAACGTCAAAGAATAACTGTCACCGAAACAGATTCTGTTGGGCGATGGTAAGATGTCCTGCCCTACCGGTAGCATCCGGAAGTCACAAACATTGCATTAAAAAGTAAGTATTTGTTGCCTAACGCAGCTCATCAGAACTCCTGCCATACGACGGCGGACTGTCAGACAAACCAGACAATCCAGTGATCGATGGACAAGAATTTTCAGTGACACGATAGCGCATTTGATTTGTTGAAAAGCGGAGTCAAAAGAACAATTCCGGCTATATCATAAGCATGTATTTATGAATCACTATCAAAAAGTCATGACACCAAACTGTCCAAACTGTGGCACCCGTCACAAATACATACAAGGGCAAGTTAGTTGTTCACCCGACTAAAAACACATATGGTCCAAATAAGGAATTGCATCGGACATCATTGTTGCGTCATGCGTCAAACTTGGAAATGTTCTCCACATGTCTACCATGAAACATTTTGATTGTTATGCTGAGGCCTTGAACACAGTAACCCAGCTGACCACAAAACTTTTGATCAACACTCGTATGACGCTTTTCAAATCTTCGTAAAATGTCCATGTACTATCTATTTCACAGGTGTCATTTGTTTACATAGCATAACCATGAAGTCCCCAGATTTTCATTGACCCTCGCGTTGTCATGCACGTGTGTACTTCGTTTTACATCTGTCGTTTTTTCATTGAATTTTACTTACACTGTATTAAATGTTTCACAAGGTTCATACAAAGGATGTAGCTTTCCCCAAATTAGTATCCAGGGAAGCCTACTTCAAAGAAAGGACAATGGCGACGGTTTACACTTTTCAATCAAACCTTTACATCATCGGCCTGGTTAAGTAATTCTAGAAATATATGGAAGGCATTCTGAGGGATGTTCCACATATGACCTGTCACTTGCCACCATGACGCGCAATTTTATCCCATACTTTAACTTCTATATGGAGTTTTTACATCTCCTAATTGACTGGCGGTTGTAATAAAACAAATACATGTATGTGGCGGGTGCTACGGGTAGGACAGGCCATGCTCAACCTTTTCACGATCACCTGGTGCTATCATATCATGTCACTGTTCTTCAGTAATCCATTCATATTATGTTCATCACTGTTTTGCCTTTTATAAACAATTGAATATTTTGAGACACATATTCAGAATTTACAAGGTTCAAATTAAAGAATATAATGTTCCTCAACTGATATCCAGTGGATCAAAGAAATGACACTGACGCTATGTCTTATTTACCATTCATGAAATTCGCATCGTTGTCCGCTGTTCTTGCTACATAAGTTCGACGACTTTGTGTGGAGAGATCTGATCGTCACCATAAGTCTATCCCCTGGTGTTTTGGCATCGAACATCAGGAAGCAGTTCATGCCCATTTGCAGGTACGTGTTGTCATATTGTGTCAGCTTCAACCGCAGGTCCTTGTTCACCGTGAGCGATGTCGTACATTGCTGGTCCATATAGTCTGTCAATGATTCGGTTAATCACAACAGCACCATGGAATTGGTTGGTTTGGTTTGTTGTTTTACGCCGCACTCAGCAATATTACAGCTATATGACGGCGGTCTGTAAAATAATCGAGTCTGGACCAGACAATCCAGTGATTGATATCATGAGCATCGATCCACGCAATTGGGATCGATGACCTGCATCAACCAAGCCAGCGAGCCTGACCACCCGATCCCGTTAGTCGCCTTTTACGACAAGCGTAGTCGCCTTTTATGGCAAGCATGGGTTGCTGTAGACCTATTCTACCCCGGATCTTCACGGGTACCATCTAATTGACAACTAATGATGGCGACGGTCAAGTAGGTATTTATGAACTTAATTGAACTCACTGTTCAATAACAATGTGATTGATGAAGATCAGTCCACTGATATAGCGATTTCCGTTATGCGCAATCATATTTATGGGTTGCTAATAATCGAGTGTAGACCAGACAATCCTGTGATTGATATCATGATCTCCGATGGACGCAATTCGGATATGATGACATGCATCAATCAAGTCAGCGAGCCTGACCACCCGGTCTCGTTAGTCGCCTCTTACGACAAGCATAGTCGCCTACTACGACAACCGGGTTGCTGGAGACTATTCTAACACGGATCATGTAAAATGCCAATACCCTTATACGAGTCCATAGGTACAGAGCTGACAAAGCTAGATACATAATCATGATGAACCGGGATTCGAACCATCTATCATGGGTTTCTGGTGTGCCCAAGGGACGCGACTCTGCATATCGAATGGCAGCACAATAGACAGCTGGGCCACCCTTGTCGACCACAAAATAATTATGCTTGTCATACCCAGAGATACATCCAAAAGAGTTAAAGAGTTTCAAATCCCATTTAACTATATTTTGGCGCGGCACATCTAATTTGGTTTTCAATACAAAATAGAATATTATTGTCAATACATTAGTAAAGAATTTAATATTATTCCCATATATATTCCAGCTTTTCCTACTTACAAAGGCGAGGTGTAAATCCGTTTACGTGGAATAACCAGAGAGACATCAACAACATACATCGACACAGGGACGCCATGTTGAATTGATCTGTGTGTTGTGGCAAATGCAAGGTGTAATATATGTGGGTGTTGTGAGTACGCCCCGTTTCCGGCCGATTGCAACATAGAGGTAAACATATACAGGGATCAACACAGCGGATCACATTTAAGACACGTGTGTCCGATGTATTTTATGACTTACGCAATGTTATCGCCGGTGACAAGTGTAAGTTATCTAAGCATGTATGAGGATGTTTTAGAATTCTATGTCTACAGTGTGTAACATAGATAGGGTGAGATAGGGTAAGATAGGGTGAGTGAGTGAGTTAAAATTGAACGTCGCATCGGCATTATTTAAGCCATGTAGCGACCCTAACTGTCAGGATCAACTGATAAAAAAATCAATAGTACCATTCATTTTTAAATAGTAATCTTCCGTAAATTGAGAATTTCAATGCACAACTTTGAAGTTAATAATTCATGTCCTGTCTAATTATAAGTGTTTAAGTTTAAGGAACAAACAATTGTACGCTTGGTCTAAAACTTCCTACCACTGAAAAAATCTTCTGTCTCGCCTTTTCTCCGGTGCTTACATTAAAAAAGGCTGAAAAATGGGAACCGTAGGCTATTTCTACACTTATTTCTAGCAATGAATCTAAGTAATTTCACGTTGACAGTAGAAGAACTAGTACAGTTATGAAACGCGCAGACCGAAAATGTACAAGAGACCATTATTTCAACCAAAGTCTTTTGAAACACTTGTGCTCTATAGTCTTGAGTAAAAGGCGACTAACGGGATCGGGTGTTCAGGCTCGCTGACTTGGTTGATGCATGTCATCGATCTCAATCGCGTGGATCGATGCTCATGTTGTCAGTTGCTGAATGGTCTGGTCCAGACTCGATCACTTACAGACCGCCATCATATAGCTGGAATATTGCTGAGGCGTTAAACAACAAACAAACAAACAAACAAACAAACAATACGTTATTGATGTGCGATCAAATTTCCACGAATGAAAACAAGATAGTTAGGTTTCCTTTCACGACAAATACCGCCCATGCCATGACGCCGTCGAACCTGCAATTGTCGATGAACTGTACCCTTTATCAATGAGGTCACTGCCAACGTCGCACACCTCGTGACCACTCTTGACGGGTCAATCCATTCCGCGGTGGGGTCTGTAGGCCCGAATTCCTGCAGCACGTTATCGTCTTCACATTCTGTGTGCCGATGCGGATTGCGCAGATGACAGCCCCCCTGTGGGGTGGTCACAGGTGGTCTTCGGCTTCGGGGTCTGTCCCTTGCCTGCCCAGTCTGGTGGTATACCTGAGTGAGTGTGTATGTTTTTATGCCGTTTTTAGCTTGACACAGTGTACCCATGTGGGGAATCGAACCCGGGTATTCGGCGTGACGAGCGAACGCCTTATCCCCTTAGGAATACAGGTTCCTGTTCACTCTTTGTGAGCACACAATGTTCACAACCATGCACTTATTCGTACTCGGGATCTCCATGACAACGAATTCAAATGAAAATAACGGGTTATTTTAGGTCCCTAGCAACCTTTGCTTGTCGTAGGAGGTGTTTTTGATGGACCGGATTGTGTGATTTGTATATATTGTAGAGGTAAACATCTGAACGTACTAATTTGATTCGTATTGGGATTTTGTATCGAGATTAAAGTTTTTAATACAGCTATAGCTACAAAACCCGATATTTGTTTATTTAAAACTATGAGCCTGAAGTTTCTAAAAAAAATACACTGTAACAGTGTAATTTTTGTGCAAGGCAATAATTTTTTCACAACAGTCTTTATCAAGAGTGAGTGAGTGAGTACGGTTTTATGCCGCTTTTAGCAATATTCCAGCAATATCACGCCGGGGGACGCCAGAAATGGGCTTCACACATCGTACCCATTATCAAGAAGTTACGGGGGCAATATATTATTTTGTTAAAATCCAAGGTCAATACACCCGAACCACACACACACACACACACACACACACACACACACACACACACACACACACACACACACACACGCACACACACACACACCAGAACATCAAATGCTCCGTCCCTAAACACACAAGGCAAAGCAACAAAACAACTTTATGACAAACAGAATATATTCCATATATTCCTTTGAGCAAGCATACAGGAAATCAATCAAATGCGCAATCTCATGACCGAAGTAGACTTGAGATCCGTGTGTACACTGCTGCTAGAATCAATATCCATACGACATAGAAGAAGGGTAGCTTCCTGGAGAACAAGATGGTGGGCTGGCGTGACAATGGGTCTGTGAAGAGAACGAGAGAGCGAGAGAGACTTTAAAATGTCATGTAGTATTGTGAGTCGGCCCTAGGCCTTATAAATGAATAGAACAGTCATCAAGCAAACAAATCCATGCCTGTGCATGTACTCACCAAATTTCTGGCCGACCTTTTCCAAAAATATTTTTCCAGGTATCCGAACCCTAAAGTCGTGAATGTAGGTGCAACATTTGTGCCCACAGTAACATCTTATAATTCCACATTAAAGTTGAAACGTTGTTGCATATAACTAAATAAAAAAAGCTTGAATGATGAAGCTGTTTGAAAATTGTTCAGGGATTTCATATAAACATTCATGTAACAAGTACTTGATATCTTCTACCATGGAAAGTATTTTGTCCTTATAGAATTGTTTATTCATAATGAAGAAGGCGCCTCCTTTGTCCGCCTCTTTTAAGATGATATCAGAGTTATTTATAATTTGTCTCATTGCATCATTTTACCCATTTAGGTACATTCTGTCTTATTACGTTTTTGTTAACTTGAGCTACCACAAGGTCATCTAAATATTTCCTATTTGTGGAGCTCATATGGATTTCTTTCTCACTAAGCTATCTGAACATTGATCATCTGCGCTTTTAGTCAACGGCATCTTCATTATCATCAAAATATTCAGATAGTCGGATGTTTTTATTGAAATCTTTCCATTCAGCTTTGGAAATGAATGAACACAAGAATATATAAACTTATTGATGAATTTGAGATTCAGTAAAAAAATCCCTATTTCTAATTTGGATGTAAGCGAAAGCCTTATTTGAAATACATTGTGTTAAACAATAAATAAATAAGTCTCGAAAATGTAAGACAGTTGACTATTCAAGTTCATTATTTACAATTTGCTACTTGAATATCAAGGATTCAATACTCAGAACAGGATATTTACCTCCTGTCATTACTACTGTATCCAGTCAATGGTAAAAATACGGATATAAAAGCCGTTGCTGTGTTTCTTAAGCATGTATTTAATATACGATCCCATTCTCACACTTACACTATACATATACGTTCCTACAATATCGTTTACCATAAATGTGAACTGTTGTTGACGTGACCACACTTTTTGTCTTCGTGTCTTTTTGTTGAGTGCTTATATTAAACTTGGACTGACGAAATTGAACCATTGGTGGACAATTATGAAACGTTAATACCGAAAATTTACATAGTTTCCTTGACCATTACTCAACAATAACGTTCTTAAAACACATGTGCAATATAGTTTTAACTTGAACCCGAGTAATGCTAATCAAGATGCTAAAATGAACAGCATAAACGCAACATTTTCAAAAGTCTGGAAGCTTTAATATGCATTCACAAAATTACAAAGCTTGATCAAACAGCAGTGATCAATTTGCCAAAGTTGAGTAATTGAGTAAATAAACTCCTCTCAGCATACAATGCACATTGTATAACACCGCTTACCAATAATACTACTGGGAGGGTGGGTGGGAAAGAAACAAGCGTGCTGTGTCGTTCTGCCTTACGTGACGCCATCCATTGCCATCTGCGCCCTCTAATAACTAGGGGGAGATAACTCTGAGCCACTTGGAAAAAAGAATGCAAATTTGCGGTCTAAGGGGAATAACTCTTAGGTACACCGTCAAAATATATTTTAATTAAAATAACACTTTGAAATCACAGTGGTACATGCAATCACTGAAAAAAGTAACGGCAGGTAATGACACTGGAACAAAAAGTATAGTTTCCAAGCTTGAAAACGTTTGGAAATCACTACGTTTCCAACTCTTTGGAAACATACTATTTCATCCAGTGTTATATTCACTGCACACACTAAACAAAGCGACATTGTTCTCTGGTGGGTGGTTAGATTGCCTGTGCTCGTAGGTTCCACCCTGATATAACTGAAATATTGTTAAAAGCGGTTTTAAACCAAATGCACCCTCTCATTCATACTAAAATCAGGAATAGACGAATGGACACACATCCAACAAAACCAAGGCTCCATTGCAAAAATCGCGTACTGATTGTAGAAATGTTACGTTTTTGGTAATTAATACAAAAATATTTTTTTAGCAGTGACAACTAAAACTATGTTCGTGTTCATTTTACACCACTGATTCTGTTTGAAATACTCACATCAGTAACGCAGTGTCTTCTCCTGTACATCCTGCGGACGAGAGAAAGGACCACCACGATCACAATAAAAGCTATCGCTCCTACAGCTATGCCCGCGATGGCGCCTGTTCCCAATTGCAATGAATTGCCTTTTTCACAGCCACTGTTCTCATCCGAGTTGTCTCCGCAGTCGTTGAAGCCGTTACATGTAAGGTCGTTGCTGACACATCGACCGTTGTCACACATAAAGCGACTGTTCGTGCAATTCCCTATAATGATTAACGCAAATGTAAATACAACTGATTTATATGCAGACTTAGATAGCTTCTGCTAAATTAAGCGAATAGCAAACTCGATTATAACTAGAGATAATTAATTATCAGAGGTCTCAAAGTTTGAATGGAAATCGAGTTTTCCAAAGGTTAGGTTAGGTTTGTTGTTTAACGCCGCACTCAGCAATATTCCAGCTATATGACGGCGGTCTGTAAATAATCGAGTCTGGACCAGACAATCCAGTGAACAAAATCATGAGCATCGATCCATGCAATTGGAATCGATGACATGCATCAACCAAGTCAACGAGCCTGGATTCTTTTCCAAAGGGTCACCGATTGTGCTTCTGTTCGGGGAACTCCCATTTAATATTCAGGTTGGAGACGGATCTGATGGAACAATGATGGAACCATCTTATTCCATGAAATAATCTTCCAGTAATTTGAGAAATTGGCCACGTGTTCAAAATGTTGCAAACTTTTAGGTCTAATTGACATCTGACTATTGTCCCCTGTTTACGTTTCTATGGAGCAGTTATTCGCCGTGAGATGCTTAGGCGTGCCAGAAACCCATGATTGTAGGTTCGATTTGGTTTCTACGTTTGTCAGTATCCTACCCGTGCTAATGGGTTTCACCAAAGTTGTAAAGGCCTGAGACAATTTCACATATCACATCTGGTTTTCCCTTCCATATGAAGCTGACACGTCCTGACATAACTGAAATACTGTTCAAAGTGTTAATCCAAACTTACTCACTCACATTAAGCACAACAATGACTGTCTTGTAACTAAAGCATCCAAATAAGAGTATTGTGAAATTTTGATAAAGGAATATTAACTGACAACTGTAACACTCTAATGTCGTTATAGTATTAGTTTCTCGTACTTACCTCAGTAATGCAGGATATAACTAAAATAATGTTTAAAATATGAGACGTTCAATCAAACTCAAATACGAATATGTTAAATATACTAAACAATATTATAAATACTAAACAGAAACAAAAAGAGGTGCTCACCGAATGACACTAGCAAGATGTCAAACTGACCACGTTGGTTTAGAGTGAAATCCGTTCGAAACACAAATTTCAACGTTTTTCCACTTGAGATATAGGTTTTGCTTGGCACATTCCCACAGTCCCCACTGGCTCCTGAAACAGTTGTAGAATATATGAGGGGTTGTAATCCATAACATAACCGTACACATATAGGTAGGAATGACTTTTGGATCGATTGGACCTTCTCAGCCTGTTTTACGTTCGGAGTGTGTTGTAAACATAACTATACTGCGTACTTTGAAACATATCCAGTGAACGACAAAAGAAACGCGATAATGACATGCGTTACTGGTAAGCCAGGATAGGTTGAGTTGTTACCTGACATTTAATCCCGTGTGACTGAGTATGAGGTCAGCCCATTGGCGCGTACCATTGTAAAGAGAGGGGTAGCGGGTGGTCCGAGACAAGTACGATGGCTATGTGAGTGTCCTGTATCAGCTGAGAACGTGTTCTAGTCGCGAGTTCAATAGCATATTATTGTGCGTGCGGGTGTGATGTACTCGATGACTGAGAAAACGGCGACAGGAAATGTGCATTGATGACATCAATTGTGAAGTATTTTGACAATGAAGGGAATTCATTTGCTGTAAAAGTGGAATACTTTGTCACGAGCGATACCTTCTGATCTGATGCGCTTTAGCATAGATACAGACAGACCAGGGCAATGCTAGATTTTGCCACTGCTTGAGATATATTTGTAAATGTCTTTCTCTATGTAATGTATGACATTATAAGCTAATACGAGCCTGCGAATGTATCATTACCTCGCTTTGACACGTTTATTTGTTTGTAATGAACTTCTATCAAACGACTTTTTGAGAATTCTAGTATCGACCTGTCACACCTACCTCTCAATAGTCTTATGAGCAACACGTGTGTCTGCGGGAGGGTAGTCAATTTCATCGTCATGACCTGCACGTGAACAAGATGCGTACACCCTCTCTACCTGTAATACAACTACATGTACTATGTGTTCCCAATTTCTGTGTACCGCCTACTTGTCTCAAACTCGTTCAGTGAGTTAATTCAACTTATACTGGATTACCAGTACATGGTACAAATATATATTAGTTAATGACGTCTCTTATTCATTGATGTTTACAATCGGTCACACAGCTCACATAACTGACGAAATGTTAATAAGAAATCATTCAGCGCCATATCCATTCAACCAATGATTTTTGCTAAGAGCCTTCAAGACATATGCCTTCGTTACTCAAAGTTTGAATCGCAAAGCCACGTTTGGGGTCTTTTGAAAGAAACCGAGTCATGGTGTACTGTTGGCTTGGGAAAGTGCTCATGATGTGACTTTTGCAAAGATGACCAAAACCCAACGATCTATATATCGCCTCAAGCCGAGATTTAATTCCACCAACAGCTTTAGGCATCGATCCCACCGTGAGATGCCTAGAGTCATTACCATCAAGGCCGTCTCTTCTTCTTCGTGGTCTCCTCCAAATGGCCATGGGAACTGCATAGAACGCGATATGATTCCATGGCCTGACCATCAGTGATTACAACAGTTAGGCGTCGGCTTGGACAGAGGCATGTACGCTGTAGACAACCAGCTACGTAATCGGCCAGTGGTAGGCTTATACTGGCTTAATGTCCAACGTAATTGTTTTCTAGCAGTGCTATGGAATTTGAATGTTGCTTATCAAAATGTCAACACATTGGGAGGTTATTAAAGGAACATGATCGTGAAACTATTCGTCAATTATTTCTGTCGTTCAGTACACATGTATACTATTATACTACATGTATATTATACATTATTATATCATGATACATATTCAAATATGATATTCAAATCACTACCACCTATTGTATATTAATACTGCTTCAGGTGTGCGGGTCCTTGAATAACGTAAACGTATTTTACAGTTTTAAATGTTAACATACCATAACCATTGAAGAATCCTGATGATAATAAATATATCGACCATTTCTGTATATAAATTCTCGCATCGCCATGCATGCACAGTTTTACACATTTCAATATCAATTTTGCTTTTATCAAATACTTATGAAATAATATGAAACTATGAAACTTTCCCATATAATTCGTCTAATGACGTCAAATACAGAAAACAATCAGCGTCGATTATCCATTTGGCGCAGCAGGAAAACCAGTCATCTAAACTATATCAATGGAGAACTGAAAATTCAATGAATCTAAATCTTATGAAAAATTGCAATAGTAATTTCCACATACCATTCAGACTTGTTAATGTATTCGCACCATCATATATTGTGAGACTGTTCTTGTAACAGAGTACGGTCCCCACAGTGCTGAATGATCTTATCTTCACCATCAGTTTGTCCCCTGGAAATGAACTCTGGAAGATTATGGAGCAAACCCAGCCATAATCCAGAGGAGTGTTGGGTAAGGATGTCAGCTTAATTCGCAGGTCCTTTGTCACCGTGAGAGTTTCCGAACATTTATCGTCCATATAATCTGTGAAGAATCACGTTAATAATAAATATATTGTATGATATAGTGATTGTGTGAATATTGTTGAAGTCAGCAATATGTAAGCTCATCACGGCTAGGGTCAGGACCAGGCAAACCATGCAGTGAATGTGCTACGATCAGTGAGTGAATGAGCGAGAGATCGTCATATAGCGATGGGAGCAAATTATACATTCAGTAAAACATATACACCAAGCCAATTAGGCAAAGATCACATCCTCTTGGAAATTCTTGAGCAGAAGAGGTCACCGTCACCCCACGCTTGTCTTTTAAGAACTGGGTGGTAGTATTGTGCTGATAGGTTGTGTTTCCTCCTCCTCCAATCGAGAGGATCATTTTGTGTGCTACTACAACTCAAATATCGTGTGCAGCCCTCTACCAATTGGGATCACAAATTTAAATTACCATGGATACTGTCGAAACATCAGCCACAACATGGGCCAGAGGAACTCGTTGAATGTGGTTTAAAGTGGGTTAAGTCAGTGCGTGATGTCATTAGTAGAATGTACAAACTGAAAAAGAGGAACAGAATTGGAATCAACCTGTTCTGTCCCAGCCACCTGTCATCCACAGTATGGCTGCCTTCCCTGAAATGTTGTTCCCACTGATAATGCCTCAGTGAATATAACAATGATAATATTATGTAAGCATCACTACACTACTTGTTTGATCAAAGAACTTGGTATAAGTGATATATCAAATAATATCAATTCCGCTTTTATACTGCATTCCAAAGCTACATAAAAATCCGTACACGGAGAGATATTTTGCTTGGTCCAGCAAAGGTACCACCACCCTGTCTCAAAGATTAACCATAATCTTGAATATTATCAAGGGACAACTTACAGTTACAGAAAGAATTTGAGACAATGGGAAATCATATGCCGATTCTCCAAATCTCAAAGGATGTGCCTGATTTTTTGCCAACCAAAAAGAAAAAAGTTCAATTCTGTCAAAATGTTTGATTCTTCAACTTGGTACACCACTATCCCACATAACAAACTTAAGGGAAAAGGCCATTGCTTGATCCATTGGGCGTTTGCTAAAATTTGTCAAAAATGAAAGATAATAATATTTGAAGTTCACTCAGAAAACAATATGTGAAATTCTGGACTTCTTCATTGATACGATCTGCTGTAAAATCTAGGGGTAAGGCACTGAGGCAAGAAGTGGGCATCCCCATGGACACCAATTGGGCACCCCTTCTTGTTGATCTGTTTCTATATATCATATGCGTAAATATGAATCGAAATTGCTCCTCGGATTGGCATAGTCAAACACAGAAATTTGGCCAAGAAGTTTAACTTTAGCTTCAGGTTTGTCGATGATCTGATATGATAAAATGACGGTCAAAAAGAGAATTGCCTTCCAAGGATATACCCACGACAAACATAAAACACGACGAACCACTCAGAATCCGTGTACGACAATGAATGCTTTCGTCAGTGAATATTTCCTTAGTATGCCTTGTTTATAGGTATAGTTTGAATAATAATAATATACTCCAAATTCCCAAAGTAACAGTCACAATTGGTTCACAATACCGAATAATAAATGGCTGAAATTTTCATTTATTATTACATACACTAGAAAGAATCCTCGTATACCTACAAAGCAAAGGCGTACAAGTTGACTTTTCTTTTCATGATCACGATGCCCCTTTGCTTGGAGACGGAATCTTGTGGATAAAATGGCAAAGAGTCGCCATTTGGCTTGTCCCGGAGTGAGTGAGTGAGTGAGTTGGGTTTAACGCCACTTTTAACAGTATTCCAGTTATATCACGGCGTGTCAGCTTAATGTGGGAGGAAAGCCCGAAGTGATGCAGGTCTCAGACGTTTACCACTTCGGTGAAAGCCACGAGCACGGGTATGGTGCTGACAAACCTAGAAACATAATCGGGGCGAACCGGGATTCGAACCCACAATCATAGGTTTCTGGCATGCCCAAGGGACGCAACTCTGCACAGCGACTCACGGCACCTTATACGACTGGGCCACCCGTGCCCGCGGCTTGTCCTAGAATGACACAAGTGGTCACGGATAACAACTCGGCACGACAGTAAGACCACAACAAATGGTAACTTCTTTTTGACTCCTAATAACCCTTAATTACATCAATAATACCCGACTGTATCCATGTGGTGATAACCGGTAGGGATTCCGTGTTAGAATTTGCCCCTAGCAAGCTCTGCTCGACGTAGGAAGGAATCCAGTGGTCCGGGACGGTGACTTGATTGTTGGCGTGTCAACGTACACCGACGTCGAGGATCGTTGCTCATGACATCAATCACTTGATTACTAATAGGGCGCGTCATATAATTGGAATGTTACTAGCGTGTGGCGTTAAGCAACATATGTACATGCACGACCCGTGAAGATCCAGGTTAGATGAGGTCTTAAGCAACCAATGCTTGTCGTAACAGGCGACTATGCTTGTCGTAAGAGGGTACTAACGGGATAGTTGACTTGGTTGAGGCATGTCATCGCATCCTAATTGCTAGGCTACCCGACCGCCTTTTGTTGATTGTAACTTCGTACATGTATATCCGGGGCTGTTTGGTAGCTTAGTGGTTCCAGCATTCGTCACACTGAAAACCCGGGTTCGATTCCCCACATGGATACAATGTGTGGATCCCATTTCTGGTGTCCCACGCCGTGATATTGCTGGAATATTACAAAAAGTGACTCAAACTATACTCACTCGCGTTGTATATTTCTCCTTTTCATACTTACAGACGGTGGGAGTAAATCCATCTACATGGACTAACCAGAGGAACATAAACAAGGCACGGTGACACAGAGACGCCATGTTAAACTGAACTGAGTGTCATCACAATTGCAGGTACTCAAGCGGGCGGAAGATGACCAGGCAATTGCGACATGCAGGTAAACAAACCCAGGGGTCAAAACGGCTCATATTTCATATTCACTGACTTGATAAAGGTTTGACATTGATGCACAAGAAGTGATATGATGAGAAGATCAATGTATTGGATGAAGGTGTATTTGTTTAAGGCAAGGTTGTTAACCGTATGTCAGTGATATGTATTGCCTTATTGAGAATCATATTATCGTAGATAAATAGTAATTTTACAATTCCGCTATCCCATTCTCGTTGATTCCACCAAAGTAGTAACCGTCTAAAACCTGCATCACTTCTGGCTTTCCTCCCACATCAAGCAGACACACCGTCATCATACTAAATTAATGTTGAAGTTTCAAAAAAGGTAACCATAAACTATGAACATGAAATATTCCACATCGCCATATAAATTCTTCAGAATTAAGCACAAAACAACAAATACTGATACATTTCTAATACAGTAGAGGTTAGCGTTTATGTAGCCTGGTATTGCAACAATATAAATATCTAGTTGCCAGGTAATAAAAGAGTAACACTTTTGTACTTTAATTGCGACCTGACAATACCAATGTTAACATGTTTCCCTGTGTGCAGCGCACAGATCGGAAATCAGTTGAGTGAGTGAGTGAGTGGTTTTACGCCGCTTTTAGCAATATTCCAGCAATATCTCGGCGGGGGACACCAGAAATCGGCTTCACACATTGTACCCATGTCGGGATTCGAACCCAGGTCTTCGGCGTGACGAGCGAACGCTTTCACCACTAGGCTACCCGACCGCCCCCAAATCAGTTGAAGCTGAGCAACGTTGCTTTCAGAGTGCAGTTGGGTGGGTGTCCATGATCTGCAGTTTGTCTTTTGAGAGTTTCTAAGGCTTTGGTCATACATTTGTATCTGATCATGACAAAAGTAAAACAAAACACTGCTAAAAGGACAAAAACCTGATTGTCTGCCATTTGTACATTTCTGATTTTCATTCCAATATTTCAAAGTATTTACTTGGACATTTCCAGTGGGCAAATAGGTCACTTAATGTATTTCCTCATTGACCTGTATTTACAGATGATGTTACTGCTGATTGAAGTATGCATGGTAAACGAGAAATGATAGTACCTCACTGACCTGTGTTTACATATGATGTTACTGCTGATTGAAGTACGCATGGTAAACGAGAAATGATAGTACCTCACTGACCTGTATTAACAGATGATGTTACTGCTGATTGAAGTACGTATGGTAAACGAGAAATGATAGTACCTCACTGACCTGTGTTTACATATGATGTTACTGCTGATTGAAGTATGCATGGTAAACGAGAAATGATAGTACCTCACTGACCTGTATTAACAGATGATGTTACTGCTGATTGAAGTACGTATGGTAAACGAGAAATGATAGTACCTCACTGACCTGTGTTTACATATGATGTTACTGCTGATTGAAGTACGCATGGTAAACGAGAAATGATAGTACCTCACTGACCTGTATTAACAGATGATGTTACTGCTGATTGAAGTATGCATGGTAAACGAGAAATGATAGTACCTCACTGACCTGTATTTACAGATGATGTTACTGCTGATTGAAGTATGCATGGTAAACGAGAAATGATAGTACCTCACTGACCTGTATTTACAGATGATGTTACTGCTGATTGAAGTATGCATGGTAAACCAGAAATGATAGTACCTCAGGTGTATTGATCGGTTGGTCATTGCGACGAGGTATGACACAATCAGCTAACACAAAGTTATATGATATGCTCACCCCTTGTATGTTATCTGCAGATAATAAACTACATCCAGGACTTCCTAAACAATCGTAAAATAACCGTGGGTATAGACCAAACTCTATCGGACCAATGTCCCCTAGAAAATGGTACTCCACAGGGCAGTATCCTCAGCCCCACTCTCTTCAATATAATGATAAACGATCTATTCGAGGGCCTATCCCCTAAAGTAAACACATCAAAATTCGCGGATGATGGAGCCATCTGGATCCGCACTAAAAGCATGAACATGGTCCAAAATCTACTCCAAAAATCTCTTAATAAAATACAACAATGGGCTGACAAATGGGGCTTCTCCCTTAACTCAGAAAAAACAACAGGAATAGTATTCAAACATAAAAACATGAAACCCGCCTCCCCAATTCTCCAGCTAAACAATCAAACAATCAAATTTCAAAAACAAACCAAATTCTTAGGACTTATTTTCGATGAACATCTCACCTGGGATGCTCACATCCAAAACCTAACAACTAAATGCAGTAAAGACCTAAACACCCTAAGATGCCTAACTGGCTCTAACTGGGGAGCATCCAAAGATACCCTCCTCTCTCTCTACATATCACTAATTAGATCAAAACTAGACTACGGCTGCGCCATATACAACACCCTAAACAACTCTCTATCTAAAAAACTTGACTCAATACAATATCAGGCTCTCAAACTAATTACACGCACCCAACATGGCACCTCCTACACCTCACTTCAGGCCTTAACAGGAGAAATGGCCATAAGTCTACGCAGGGAACAGCTAAGCTTAAATTTCTGGGCCGCGTCCCAATCAAACCCTCTCATCCAAAACTTAATAAACCAAAACATCAGCCCCCAAAACCAAGCTCTAGCTCGCAAACACCCCTTACTTACCCCAATATCCCAAAGAATAACAAACTACCTAAATGAACACCAAATTAAAAATCTTAAACAAAACTGCAAACAATCAAATATCTTCACCCCTAAACTTAAAATACCCAAAATAGACACAACACTAGCTAGCCAAATAAATAAACAAACCGACCCAAACATAGCTAAAACTACCACACTAGCATACATACACGAAAATTGGCCAAATTGGTGTCACATTTACACGGACGGATCCTCAGATCCGACCTCCAAACACACAGGTTTCGGAGTCCATACCACACAACCAACTAAAACCACACGATCCTTCCGACTCCCAAACAACCAATCAATATTCGCGGCAGAACTAATGGGCATGGCCTCAGCCCTCCATAATCAAGAATCCAAAAAACACAAAAATATCCTAATACTTACCGACTCCCTAAGTGGACTGCAAGCCCTCCAAAACAAAAATACCAAAAACCGACCTAAATTAATAAATCAAATACTTAAAAGCTCCAACGACCTAACCAAGACAGGCAAACAAATAACCTTCTTGTGGATACCCGCCCACGTAGGAATATACGGTAACGAAAACGCCGATAAAGCAGCTAAACTATCCCTCAAAATCCCAGAAATAAGCTTAAACTTACCCATCTCAAAATCAGAAATTAAAAGTGTAAACAAGCAAAAACTCACAAAAAAATGGCATAACCTATATCTAAACTCAAATAGCCAAATCAAAAAAGTGCTCAGCAAACCACTAACCAAACCCAAAATTCTCCATCCATCGAAAAAAATCGACAGAGTAATCACTAAACTCCAAACAGGACACACCAACCTAAATAACCACCTAAAAAATTTTAAAAAACACACTACAGGTAACTGCCCACACTGCAAACAACCAGAAACCCCAGAACACGCACTCATCCACTGCACACACTACCTAACACATCGAACCGCATTACAAACCACCCTCAATCTAAACAAGCCTCTAACTCTAGAAGCAATACTAAACCCACAAAATAAACTAGAAAGCTTCAAGGCCTTAGGCGTATTCTTAATAAAAACGGAACTAATAAAACGCATCTAAAAACACAATAACCTACCAAATCAAAATCACATAAACAAACAAACATCCACCATACCCAGCTCCCTTAGTTCTCCTCCCCAATCCCATCGGCATCTATTCCAAATCTCAAAATTCCCAAATTCTATATAAGCAACCCCTTAAACCCCCCTCTTGGGTTGCACAGACCACCTTCGCCCCTTTCGGAAACACATTAAATGGCCTGGCCGGGCCCGTGTGCGAAATACGCATCAGTCGGAAAGCGCACGTTAAATCTCCAAAGTAAGTAAGTAAGTAGGTATGTTATCTGCTCCCTGTCGATGTGGTACGTTCATGGGTGATGTATTTACTGAATATTGCACGAGCTACAATGTTATATGAAATATTCCTGAGTGAAATATTTTTTTCAAGATTTCCAGCTGCAATCATGGCCGGCCATTAGGAGATATGTCATAATTTAATTTCGAATCGAGCGCTTTATCGCGAGGTTTCAAATGTACAAATAAGAGGTATCTACTCTAAATTGGGACAACATCAAAATTTTAAAACACAGTTGGTTATTATCATTCTACCATGACGGCAACAGGTTTGACAACGGTGCTTTCTTGCAACGCGTAACTGCACAGGCTACAAAGGTCCGCTATCCTAGAACATTGAATTTCTGACATTGGTCACAGGTCGTTATATATGTAACAAATATTTCTAAAGTTTAACATTAAAATACCCATAGTCTTGACAAGTTCGAAATTGTTGTTCAAAACATATTTTTTTTAAAAAGAAGTTGAAAATTAACCCTCCAAACCAAATCCAAAGATATATATTTTAATTTCATCGCAACCTGCTGTGCACTGTTTGGACTCACAAAGTCATTACTTGGAAATCAGAGCGACAGGTAATTTCTTGGATATCGAATATGCCACTTCCCATTGTAGGGATGACAGGTTGTAGAAATAGTTTGAAAAAATGCCGAACGAATATATTTTTCCATCGAACTTAATGAATTAACATTCTCCTTCCTAATTTACATGTGTGAGTCTTATAAGTTAGTTCGTAATTACCCCCAGTAAATATACCAATTCATAATAAATGCCTCTCCACGCCGAATTTGGATGTGGAAGAACTTAGGCAGCATCAGGTTACAACTGTCAATGGCTGCCAATGTTGTTGTTCACACCCTCCGTGCCCCTGAGAAGTCACACGAAGCAAGATGACAACCCCGATCTATGTGGTTCAACATAAACCTGTAGATTTACTGGGTAGGAGGAGCCTGCTGGTACAATGTGATTGCCAATAGAACTGCATAGCGTATGACAGTTTTTAAGGCTGCATACGAGCCGGCATTTTGACGCGAGGGATTGATATCACAACAATTCGACGCCAGCACATGATCGAAATGTGAGTGTTATGGCCCTGGCACAGTGGTTGTGTGTATGGTTTGCTTAATTGTTCGTGTCCTGTTTGTTTGTTGTTTAATGCCGCAATCAGCAATATTCCAGCTCTATGACGGCGGTCTATAAATTATCGAGTCTGGACTAGACCATTCTGTAACTGACATCATGAACATCGATCCACGCAGTTGGGATGCGATGACATGCATCAACCAAGTCAACGAGCCTAACCACCCGATCCCGTTAGTCGCATCTTACGGCAATGGGTTGCTGAGCGCGTGTCCTGAAATGAGTTTGATCAAGTTTGATCAGCTGTTGTTATCAAGCACCTGTGCTTTGACTTCAGAGATGTAGGAACATTTGTGGGTGGCCTTTCCAAGGGAGGAGTGTTTTCCGCTAGACTTTCAAATCCCTTAAAATTCTTACCAAATCATAATGTTGATGGCAATAAATATCATCTCAAGAAGGTTTATAAAAAATATCTTGTCATGAACACTGTTGCAAAAAGGGTCCCTCTTCTTAACCAATCAGAATCAAGCATTCTTCAGTGTCATAGTATAATTATCGATAAACAGCTTTGAGCTTGATTTCAACTGGGCTGGACTACAAAACAAGTAGAAGGTATCCGTTGGGATATCCGATAAACTGTCTGTGAAACATTTCTGACTGCTATTGTTTCAGTTATGATCAGGATTGTTGACACCTTTCAGTGAACTTAGAGCTCTGTGCTTGGGTACATTGGCAGCGACCTCCAGTACGGCAGAGGGCATGGGTGGCCCAGTCGTCTAAGGCGCCGCGACTCGCCGTGCAGGGTTGCGTCCCTTGGGCACGCCAGAAACCTATGATTGTGGGTTCGAATCCCGGTTTGCCCCAATTATGTTTCTAGGTTTGTCAGCACCATACCCGTGCTCGTGGGTTTCACCGAAGTGGTAAACATCATTTCGAGCTTTCCTCCCACATTAAGCTGACACGCCGTGCTGTAACTGGAATACTGTTAAAAGCGGCGTTAAACCCAACTCACTCACTCATTTACTCCAGTAAGGCAGTATTAAAAAACAATAATGTCAAAGTCAAAATTAGTTTATTTGTGTGTAGGCCTTTGGCCCATATACAAGGAATGCAGTGACAACAATACAATGTGAAGCACATTTCATGGATTTTACGACATCATGTCTTTTTTTGTATGCATAATATACATAATATTGCAGACGTTTTAATAACTCATCCTGAGTTGTACACAATAAACCTTTGAATTTATATATAGTTGGAAACTTCCAATAAAATTCTTTCAAATAAACTTTACGCAGTTCAATATAATGTTAACAGATCAATACGAAATGATATTCATCTTCAACAGGCATACTGCAAACACATACGTAAACATGATTCAATGGATTGCCATCTACCCTCGTTCTGTCGTTAAGGTAAAACATTACATCTTAACAATGATGTCCCACAGCACGTGTTGCTCTTCGGTGCTCTTAAGAACAGTTTAGGTAAACTCTGCAGTTTTGTAATGTATCATTTGTATTATAATGCGCGTTTAGTGAGTGAGTAAGTGGCAATTGGCGGCAATGAAAATGGATCACTAAAAGGTTTGTAAACATGTTGTCATGAATATAATTTTTTAAAGTACTTTTTTTATAATGTTATATTTTACACAATTTTACAATGGGGAAATTGCCTTTTCACCACCGAACATGTGCCTAACAGTTTCATTAACGTTAATATCATGTGTATGCAAAAGGTATGCCTTCGTTAAGTGTTGTAATCTCATCATCGAAGCAGTCAGGGTTACGATCTAGAACGTCAAAATCGTCGCCAAAGGAATCCGAAATCGAACGTACTGGATTTTCTCTATTTCACTCGGACGTATTTAATTTCGCGAGAGCTGTTGACCAGGGGTGAATAAGAGATCTGGCTTGTATTAGAGACCCAGCGTCTATTAGACTTAATATCGATACGGTAAACAGTTCTCGTCAGTGATCGGCAGCCATTTTTTATGGATCGATATTTAGGCTATTGATGTATTCATACGCACATTTTTGTGTTTATATTTACGAAAAGAGGTTTCTGTTCCAAAAAGGAACCTCTTCTTAACAAATAAGAATCAAGCGTTATACAATGTCCTGATAGAATGTACTTCAAATACTTCAGCATTTCATAATATATTTATTTACAAGTTGAAATTATTTCAGTTTATTTTCCTTTGTTTGGTTGCATTTCCAGCGTAAACAAAAACGGTGTTCTCGTGATCGAAATATGAACGAATGAATGTTGCGAAAATAGTCCGGGTTCATAGTCAGCCAATCAAAGGACAATAATAGCGGAAAAGGGATGTGTGCACATTAGAATTATATACAACGATATCTTTTACTTTTGCGGTAATAATTGTCGCCCTGAAGAGCGAATCGGCCATAAAAGAACACTGTTGACTTCGGAATTGTAATGATCTCAGCAGAACATTTTTCCTGTTGACTGGATAACATATCTGCGCATGAAACATACCAGTCTTGGTTTCGGAGGTTTGCATAATAAGTCGATTATTATGAATATGAACTGATATTAATATGTTCACATCACTCTGTTGCTCATAAATCGCTTCCGTGGTTTAGTTGATAGAGCTACTAAAAATGGTACTTGTTGTTATCCTGCCTGGCGATCGGCACTAAGTGGTTAAAACAAGGACTGGCCGGCTCGGGCTCTGAATGAGGAATTCTCAGTGAATATTACGGGTTAGAAGTGGTCTTCAGCAACCCATGCTTGTCGTAAGAGGCGACTAACGGGATCGGGTGGTCAGACTCGCTGACGTGGTTGATGCATGTCATCGTATCCCAATTGCATAGATCGATGCTCATGATGTCAACCACTGGATTGACTATTTACAGACCGTCGTCATAAAACTGGAATATTGCTGTGTGCGGCGTTAAACAACAAGCAAACAAACAAACAGCACTTAAACGGACTTAAGGCCACACACACACACACACACACACACACTCGTTCAATGTCGCTATGTACGTCAAATACTATTGAACCCTATTGCGTGTAGTGAGAGGCGACTAAATTGAATCGGGTGACCTATTTTCTTGTGCGTCATCGCACATCGACGGGCCATCACTGGGAATTTAAGCACTGGTGTGTCTGCCCCAGACTCGAGTTATTATAGGTTATTCATCTAGTTGGAATATTGTTTACTCGGGCGAAAGGCATAAAAGAATCTTCAAATCAAGTGTCAAGTTTATGGAGAATTCAATATCCCATGCATCTGTGTAATTGTCTCGAATACAGTAATAAAAAACACAATTTATGAGACCAATATTTATTAAAAACATTATGTATGAAATTCCACACGCACTGATCTTTGCAGAGGTAGATTCTAAAAGTTTCTTTGCGGAACTGGCTATGGTTGAAATCTTAGTCCTTGGTCAAGAATCCATGAACACCAAAATGAACACTTGAACAATCCGACAATACCCTCCGTATCAATATCCATACGTCATAGATTTAGGGTAGCTTGCTGGAGCACATGGTGGTGGGGCGGCGTGACAGTGAGTCTGCAAAACATAAAACGATTGCAAATAAAGAAGAGGAGGCTAAAATACTGAATCAATAACCATATATTTTGACCATTGCTCGCATCTATTCTGTACCGCGTATTTGCGGTAAGATTATAAACGCTGTTTGGTTTGGTTTAACGCCACACACAGCAATAGTCCAGCGATATGAGACCGCGGCCTATATCGAGTCTAGACCTGAAAATCCAGTGATTAATATTATGAGCAAAGATGAGCAGTTGGGATGCAATAAACCAAGTCATCGAGCCTCTTCACCTACTTCACAGGTTGTTTTGATCCAAATCTAACCCGGATAAAACTGAGTTTGGATAAATGAGTAATATTGAACGAAATCGCACAAAAGACCTTGTACAATTAGGGTAACGTTTAAAAACTATTTTAGTTAATTTTACAGTTGAAGAATTTTGAAGTGGTGTTTCCGGACATATAGACATGAATATAATTTACAATATACAAATACTTGTACCTCTGTCAAGAATGGTAACCTTTGTTAAATTTGGGTCAGTAGGTAAAGTCGTGGTTAATGCGTTAGCTCGTCACGCCCAAGTCTCGGGTTTTATTCCCTATATTGGCATGCTGTGTGTAGCCAATTTATGGCATTCCCCGCTGTGATATTGGCTTGACAATATTCACCGGCTTATGTGTAAAACTGTATCACAGAATGATTCGCATGACGCTCTTAGTAGAAGGTGCTGGCTCTGTCTATTTCACAGATTTCTTCCTCAGTTAACTTACTGGCCTTATATGTAGCATTATTTGATAATATACCAAGTTGATAAAATATTTAATGTAGTGATCCTAACATATAATGGTTTTGATAATGCAATATTGACACCTTTTACATTCTGGAATACTGTTAAAAGCGGCGTTAAACCCAACTCACTCACTCACTCACTCGTTCACTCACTCACTCACTCACTAACCCATCCACCCAACCACCCAACCACTCACTCACTCACTCACCCACCCACTCACTCACTCACTCACTCACTCGTTCACTCACTCACTCGTTCACCCACTCACTCACTCACTCACTCACTCTTAAACCGTTATACTATCCGTTTCTCGAACTCACCTCAGCAAGACATCGTCTCCTCCTGTATACCCTGCCGACGAACGAAAGGACCACAACGATCACTATAAACACTATTGCTCCTACAGCAATGCCCGCGATGGAGCCAGTGTTCCAGGTGATCGAACTGCAGCCATCGATCTCATCCGAGTTATCTCCGCAGTCGTCGAAGCCGTTACACGTGAGGGTGTTGCTGACACAGCGGAAGTTGTCACACACGAAGCGGTTACCTGAGCACGTACCTGTAAATGTAAAGCAATTTAACGTGCAGGGGAATTTGTCGCCATTTTGGTTAGAATCAAAAGAACACGGAATACTAAAATTGTAAAAATATCAAATTTCAACTGTAGCTGGATTTTACCCAATTCCTCAATATTTGGTGTTTTCATTATCATGTACAAGTACGTGGAAAAAAGCTACAAAACCCGTTCCATCATCAAGAAATCTCACATGGCCATTTGTATATCACCTTCATTTAAGAGTCGTAGAATGCCCAATAAATTTCCCGAACACCTTGCGACCTCTAACATAACTATAAAATGTAAGGTGCTATGTCACTTTCTGATATTGTCTGTTCCCTTTTATTATGTTTATGTTTGTGGCAGATATGCGCCCTTACAGGTATGACGCTTTGTTTGTGCGCATTTGGCAGGGATGGGTAAACAGATTGATAAACAACCATATGGACTAATGGACATGGAAATAGATATCAACTGATATCAACATCTTGTGAACACCTGGGTTGGTTGGTCTGTTAGTTTGTTTGTTTGTTGTTTAACGCCACACTCAGCAATATCCATGCTATATGACGGCGGTCTGTAAATAATCGGGTCTCGAACAAACAATCCAGTAATTGATAACATGAGCATCGATCCACGCAACTGGGATCGATGACATGCATCAACCTGACAAGCCTGACCACCCGATTCCGTTAGTCACCTCTTACGACAAGCATAGTCGCCTTTTACGGCATGAATGGGTTGGTGAAGACCTATTCTACCCCGGATCTTCACGGGTCTCAAGCACCTGGGCTTGATCAAGGTTCTAGCTTCTGTGCATGATCGTCGCATTTAAAGAATTAACAAGTTGAAATCAAAGCCAACTCTATCTTCATTGAAACTGCAGCTTCTAACATGCACTTAAAGATGCTGGCATAGACCCTTTAAACTCACCGGCACTTGCTGATCCAAATGACGTCACAAGGACGTCGAACTGACCAGTTTGGAAACTGTTATCCGTCGTGAACGTAAACGTCAGTGTATTTCCACTTGAGACATAGTCTGATAATGGCGCATATCCACAGTCTCCATTTGGTCCTGAAGCAGTTGTAGAACATCTATTAAGTGTAGATCGCAATAGGGGTAAGTAAGTTAGAAAGTCGGGTTTAACGTCCCTTTGGACAATATTCAGGTTAATGGCGTCTTAGCATAATGTTGTAGGAAATCCCAAACTAATTAAGAATGTCAACGTTTACCACTACCACTTTGGAGAAACCATATGGTAATTGATCATCAGGGCCAACCAGCCCCCCCCCCCCCCCCCCCCCCCCCCCTTCCGACATATGACTCTTCATGTTATCAAACAAAGTTTAGGCAACCCTTTACATTTATCCATGTGGTATCCTATTCAGAACTTTTAATGTCCAATGTCCATCACAACATAAATCCTTAAAATATAAATATATTTGACACTTGATCTATCTGCGTGTCTCAAATGTTGATATAGTGTAGCCGTCATACAATGTCTGAGTCCTGTGATATAATAAGATCCATGACCTTTGTTCTGAGACGCCTTGTGCATGGTAAAAGCGGTTAACCACTAGCTGGCACGGTAGGATGTCATCTGTGGAAAGACGTCACCCCCTGCTAATACTCCCCCGTCAACAGAAAGCACTTTCCAGGTTGCATAGTTGGGTACTGGGACGTATTTTGCTGGAAAAATATATGAATATGCCCAGCCGTACGTTGTTCACCAATGTAGCGACTACAACATATCAGGCTCCGGTGTTTGGACTCGAAACTCGAACCTTCTGATCCGGGGGCGGACGCCTTGTCCACATGGCAAAAGAGGTTAGCTCAGCCAGCGGACAAGCTAAGGATGTCATCTGTAGGATGGCTGGACGCACTGCTACAATATCACTACTACAATGTACATGTACAGCTTAACTAAATCTGAACGTTTACTATTTTAAATTATATATTTAACATTTTGGATTGTGTTTTTATTAATATTTTCTTTATTGTTTGATATGTGTATCCTTCATGTACATAACTCCATAACCTGATTTCAATGCATATAAACAAGCGGTAATTTGACCTATATACTTATTTAAATAATTATATAAAGCACTCCCGAAACTGCTATTTAGTGAATTATCCTGCATAACACCATTGCTTTTACCTAACCGATTTAACTGTTTTGAATAACATCTGCTCCCCCAAACTATTAATGCATTTGTTTGTTGCTTAATGCCGCACTTAACCGCATTTACGACCTGTAACTAATCGAATCTTGTGATTGACATAATGAACAATGGTTCACGCTGCTGGGGTACGATGACACACAATCAACAAATCACCCATCCTGCGCCAGACTCCGCAATGTCCATTGTGACTAGCATACACTGCTGCGGACCTCATTCTAACCAGGAGATCCACCAGGCAGACTGAAATGCCCCCGAATCAAATATTAAACACAGTGCTTACCATTTATTATTGTACTGCCGTCATATATCTTGAGGCTGTTCTTGGTGCAGCCGATGCTTGAGCGCGTGTTGAGAGATCTGATGTTCACCAACAGTTTATCCCCTATGGTGTTGGTCTGGATGGTCGTGGAACACGACATGCCACGTTGCAGATTAGTGCTTGAAAAGAGGGTCAGCTTGAGACGCATGTCCTTCGAGAACGAGATAGTTCTCGAGCATTTCTGGTCCATATAATCTGTCAATAGTCAGGTTTTAGTTATATGAATATATAGCGTCATCAGCAGAGAATTATCAGAAATGATGATCCGCTGAAACCGATTCCAAGGCATAATAGTGGTGACTATGAATTATATTCATTTCAAATTCACATTGCAATACTGTCAATGCACATTTTACAAATAAATGTTTCACTTAAATACATTTCTACCCTTATTTGAAACATGATATTACATATTTTAAATATAAACGGCTCACTGAAATCCAGTAATGACACTTAGATGTTCGCGAAAAGTAATAAAATATTTGGTTATAATGGTCATCAATAAATGAGGGGGTTGCTGCACATATATTATTTATCCCAATTAAAACAAAATAATAATAAAAAAATAAAATAAAACTAAAATTAAAATAATAATAATAATAATAATAATAATAATAATAATAATAAAAATAAATAAAAAATAAATAAATAATAATTATAATAATAATAATGTGCTTGTAAAGCGCATTACTCTTTATGCAAATTTTGCTCGAAGCACTGTAATATGTTGATAGAAATCATAGCGCTATCAGTTTATATCTAACCAATACAACCTGGCGTAGTATCAAACCAGGGCAGACCTTATCAAATCGATAAAGAGCTGTCTATTTCTATTTGTGGTCATAACCAATCAGTAGAATTTCAGTCCTGTGTACGTATCGATTAGTTTAATGTGTAAAAGTGAGTGAGTGAATATGGTTCTACGCTGCCTTTAGCAACAATCCAGCAATTACACGGCGGGGGACACCACAAATGGGCTTCACACATTGTACCCATGTGGCAAATCTAACCCGATCTTTGGCGTGACGAGCCAACGCTTTAACAACCATGCTTCTCGACCGCCCTTTAATGTATGAAAAGATGGAGAGGTTTACCCAAAGGAGAGTGTGACCCAAACATTTTATTATATTTGTACGCTCATATGCTGCCTGAAATTATTTTTGGACCAACTGTTGATAAAATAATAATTTTTTTATTGTGACCAATTCAAGCTGGTTCAATATTTACTTAAGCACAGGTTACATCAAAGTGTACGACATCAGATGGAATGTACACCGCGACATTCATAACGACTTCTACTTTTATCATCGTGAATATATGCAACTTACACTTTGAACCTTAAACCAGCTTAGGTTAATATCAATACATTGCACCTGAATCTGTAATATGTTGTAACAGTCATACTTACACGTGTTAGGATAGTATCCGTTAACGCAGATTAAACAAAGAGACAAAAAAAAGACACATTGGTTGAGGGACGCCATGTTGAACTGTACTGCGAATGATATCCGAAATCAGGCTATTTATGGCGAAGAACGCCCTTTGTTCGGTCGATTTCAACATGAGATGAAACCGTCTACATGTCCAAACAGGACTTAAAGTGCTTAACGACATCGTCACGAGTATTTCACATCCACGTGACTGACGAAAGGTTTGATAGCATTGTTATTGTAAGAAGAGAAGGATAAGTAGCGCTGACGTTGATAAACTTCATATTTCGTATCTTGTCATCAGCGCGCTTGATATATACCAGATAGATAGATAGATAGATAGATAGATAGATAGATAGATAGATAGATAGATAGAGTGAATGAGAGAGAGATATATATCGAGTGAGTGAGTGAGTGAGTGAGTGTATCAATTAATAAAACCAGAATAATACCCTCCCTAAAATGCAATTCTCCCCTCGTGAAGAGTGAAGGTCGTAGAAGATTCATCAGAATCGAAACGTTGCACCATCAAACATGCAAACGATATCTTGATCTCATGATTAATTAGGCACACATGCCTTTCAACACACGGTATCTTGCAAACACATTAGCTGGGCTTTATTTCGAGAAGTTAGGGATCAAAGGACACAATCGTGTAGTAGGCATACTCACGTAGGTATGTGATATCACAATAAAAGCGAGTGAGTGAGTGAGTGAGTGAGTGAGTGAGTGAGTGAGTGAGTGAGTGAGTTAGTGAGTGAGTGTATCAATTAATAAAACCATAATAATACCCTCCCTCAAATGCAATTCTCCCTTAGTGAAGTGTGAAGGTCGTAGAAGATTCATCAGAATCGAAACGTTGCACCATCAGACATGCAAACGATATCTTGATCTCATGATTAATTAGGCACTCATGCCTTTCAACACATTAGCTGGGCTTTATTTCGAGAAGTTAGGGATCAAAGGGCCTCGTTTGCGTCATCTCCTACGCGTTTGAAACTCTTTGACTTGAATGTTGGTAAGATAAATTAGTTTATCATATAATGAGTAGGTTTCTCGGCAGGATAAAGCCTACGGATAAAAACGATATCCGTTTGGGTCATATGCGGATAGAGATGCAAATATCAAAGGTCAAGTAGGGACTACTTTCACTGTTTATAAACAAACATGGCGTCGCCCTCGTCATTTGGCGATCGAGTCAGAATTAACCATCGGGAATCTGGATAAACTACAGGGATAATTGCTATCATTATCAAAAGAACAGTCTAATATACTGAAAATCAGTGTCTAACTGTGACGTAGCTAAGGCATTTTATAAGTTTTGGCAACTTTGGAGATATAAATTTCGAAACAATTTTGCGAGGGCACGAGGCCTAGCCAAGCGGGATCAGTATCCATAGCTGTGCTTGTAGACCTCTGCGGCTTGAAACCTTCTCCACAAATTAAAATAGTTGGATTTGGAACCAAATATGTTTGAATTGTTACCTTGTTTCGTTTTGTCGCTGTGTGTACATCTGACTACACTTCTGAACGTTATGACAGACCGACGGTCAACAACGTCTGAGCGTGGCCGTGACGTCTCATAGACTAGGGTTAGAGTAGCTTCCCTTTGACAAAGGGAAGTTACTCTAGCGGACAGACCGATGGATTGCCGCGAAAGGCAAATAAAAACAATTGTTGTTTTGCGTATATGTTCCTTCGCAAATGTATAAGAAACAGGTTTCAGTTGGAACTATATTGGCTACTGTCACTGTCCGACTGACTCATCACTTACCCTATGACGTAATATATATTAATGCGCGCATTCCAGGAAAACTCGCAATGTTTCGGTAATGTTTGTGAGAGAGGGAAAGCAATTTTGAAGCACAGAATTAAAGAATGACATTATATGATAAAGAGGTTATCACGCTTGTGTGTTTGGGGATGGTAAATATCCTGTATTAGGAATAAACACTATGTATTTAGCTCGCCAAGGCTCGATAAATACAATGTTTATTCCTAATGCAGGATATTTACCATCCCCAAACACACTCGCGTGATAACCTCTATTGACAACAGATCTCTCGTGGCATATGGTGTGATGTACCCTGGGTGTGAGTCTGTGGGATACATCACACCATTTACCCCTCGAAATCGGTTGGGAACTTATACTGTACACGGGGGCACGGGTGGCCCAGCCGCTGTGCAGAGTTGCATCCCTTGTGGGTTCGAACTTCGGTTCGCCACGATTATGTCTCTAGGTTTGTCAGACCCATACCCGTGCTCGTGGGTTCCACCGAAGTGGTAAACGTCTGAGACCTGCATCACTTCGGGCTTTCCTCCCACATTAAGCTGACACGCCGTGATATAACTGGAATACTGTTAAACGCGGCGTTAAACCTAACCCACTCACTCACACTGTACCCCTTTGATCCTCATTGCGCGTTTTCGGACCCCCATAGGCGTGGAACTGTGCTCGCATAATCCGTTCTGAAGCGGAGAAGAACCTTCTACTGGCTGTGTCTGGTGTCACCACTGCTGGTGTTCCCCTTGCTGCGTCCTCTGAGTTTCCTTGTTCCTGCAGACAGTTGGGAGAAGACGACCCTGGTTATCACATCTCTACTGTCAATCTTTGTGTTCATGTCGTCCATCTATGAGACGTTGCCTAAACTTCCTGTAACACTATCTCCATTTTCGGTAAGATTCAAGTCTCAATTGTAAGGTGCTGATATATTATCGGTCACGACATGCACATGCTTAAAATAAAGTCTGCAATGGATCTGCGACTCTGGGTATTCCTTACAATCTAACATTCTCCGTCATTCTTCAGCCGTAAAGTTATGTTTTACTTGCTTTTAGATATAATATAATCTAGAAATTATGTTCAACATTTACATGGAACACATGGTCAATAGCTTTACTCATGAAAATGCAGAGTGCACTGGTGTTATGCCGAGTTGTGCATTATTCCATTCTTATAGCGACTGGCAGAGACCAGGAATGGGTTTCCGAGATAGCAAATTGCCTGTGTCTTACATTATAATCACAAGCAATACTGATTTATTTAGGTGTTCCTTATGGGGGCTTTCAATCGATATATGATGGCTTTGACATATATAAGAACTTGTTGGTTGTCCTTGCTAGGTGACATTTCGGTGCTAAACGTTTTAATATAAGACTTAGTTGTATTTCAGATGTGTGTGCCTTACTATGTTGATTTCGCCAACGGTATTGCCAATACGGCTAATATATACTCTCGTGGACACATGAAAACTATGAACTTTGATCCAAGTTAATGTTATACAGTAACATTTTTTTGTTTTTATTACTTCCTATTTCAGTGCTCCTGGCAGCTGTTCAGACTTTCATTAGCTTCCTGACATACAACATCGACATACCCTATTTCCATCGACTCCCATCAGACTACACAATCCCAATCTGTCTTGAGACAGTATTCACAAAGAGGTCACCAACGGCAAGAACCATTGTGGTAAAGACGGGCAGCATGTTGAATTCAAAACTCGATGCAAAGACTGTTCGTTTGGCTAAATGAGTACACAGGTATTTGCGAAAAATGAACCATCATTTGGCTTCTTAAGTTTCTGGATGTTATTTTTAGCCGGGAGAAGTAATAAGAGAAATATTTATTACCATCCCCATTGTGATATCCACACTTGTCTGTTTACAAATAATCAATATGTTAAGAAGTTGAAACCTTAAACAAGACGTTCATTTCAACACATCACATATTTATAATGTCGTGTCACAAAAGATTTTATACATTATATATATATGATTTAAGTGATACAATGTTCAGCAGTATCTGTATTTGTTAATCTCTAATTATGCCTAAACGTATCTATTAAGCCATGTCGTACTAAGTTGTTGTTCACTTTCTCAAAAACTGTAGGAGTACACTACTGCCTAAAAGTTCATTCCCCTAACACGCGTTGAGAACGCGTGTAATACGCATATGACACTGGTGTGCAACGGGTGTGCAGCGCGTGTGCAACCCGTTGATCACGCGTGAGTCACTCGTTGCACATGCGTGTGCCATGCGTGTAACTCGGGACCGGGTTTCAGTTGAAGTTGGAAAATATATTAAATGAAAACCCACCAAACCTCTTATTAACTTTTACCATAAACAAACAAAAAGTGGGGTGTGGGGAAATGTCCAGTATTGAATATCAAGAGAACTATTTTTTCATAACGAAATACGAAATACTCTTATGGACCTTCTATTATAAGAAATACATCTTCTTGAAGACCGTTTAATTTCAACGGTTATATGCTACTTACGTTTAAATGTATCTAATTTTACCGTTAAAAAGGTGTTGAAATAGGTTAATGTGTCTAACGTATTCATTATATCTTCACACGCACCGCTTGTTGCATTAACATTCATATATTATCATCATCATCAAGTTTTAGGTTTTATATCAACATCACAGTCCTGTATTTCATCGACGGGGTAGGTCGGGTTGAATAATAAGTAATATGCTTAATAGATATAAACCACCAATTGTGTGTGTGTGTGTGGGGGGGGGGAGGTTAATGTATTACATTACGTTACATTATTGAGTATAGTAAAGATTTAATAGGTATATATGTTGACTATAAATTATAAATGATGTATATATGTAAATACGGATATATCAGATATAATACTAGAACATATGGATTTTGTTACAGGGGGAGAAAGTTTGCAGTACAGATAAAATTAAGCCCTGATATATTAGTAATGTATAGCTTTGATAGGTGTAAAGCACAGCAGGATATAGTAATATAAACAGTTAGGCTGTTTTTCAGTATGTGGGCCTGCTAAATATAGGAAAACTGAAGTGAAGCCTAGCTTCAACATTGATATATTTGTATGTTAACATGTTTTATAGCGCTTGTTCAAGAACCATATTCTCCAGCAAAAGTAATTGAGCATTAAGAAACCTGACAGACACTTTTGACGTTCAATCCGTAATGTGTAAGTTTGTTCATTGGGACAGGACGTCGTTCTTTCTGAAGTATTGTTTTCACACAACAGCCGATAATCCCTAAGCTTACTCTGGTCCATTCGCCTTATTCAAACAGATTGAGAGAAGTTTCAGCTCTAGTGACCATCTCCGAGAGTTGGCTTCTTTCCCGGAAATACCTCTGCCTTCTGGCTTCAAACGA